ACAGAGACAATAGTTACTCCTTGTTTCGTACAACGGCGAAGTTTAAACTTTTTTTAGTTGTGTAAATATTGCTGTATTTATAAATTTGCTGTAAAGCACAAGTAAATTATTAATTAAATTTATTATTATGGAAGACATAATATTTTAACCTTGTGCAGTGATACTTGCTCATATTTGAGGAACCAAAATCACTACTGTTTTGTGAAATTTTGAGTATTCTGTGCTATGTTTTTAGAATTAGATGCACAAATTTTGAATGTGAATTGTGTAGGGCATTTAAGATACTTGGGACTATTTTGCCATGTTTCTGTATGAACTTTTCATTTACCTTGTGATAAGATTACAGTAAGGCTTACTGTGAATAAAGAGTAAAAAAAACCCTAGTCAATTATGTAAAATAAAATAATTTCCATTGTATTACCATCCAATGCAATTTTATATTCTTGTAGGATGTCAGAGTCTTTATTATTTGCTGCATATGTTTATACAAAACTCTTGGGGACAAATTGAAAATATGACATTCTGAATTTCTTGTCAAGATTATTATACTTTCAAAATTACATTCCCTTGATATCTATAAGCAACACTATTTTCACTGACAGTAGACTTTTCAAATTCTTAAGTTATTGAGAGCTGTAAGATAAAAGCGTGCCGTTGAGCTGCAACCCATTCATGGAGACCCCATAAAGTTCTACCTCATGGAGTTTCAAGGTAAGAGATGAACAGAGCAGGTTTGCCGCTGTGTTCCTCTGCATAGCAGGCCCGGTCTTCCTTGGTGGTCTCCCATCCAAGTATCATCCAAGCCAGAGGTCGTTTCGTAGAAAAAGAGCTAGGGGAACTCATTAGCATAACTCATTAGCATATGCCACACCCCCTGACATCACCGGAAGTGTGTCGTAAGGCCACACCCCCTGACAAGCGGAAGTGTGTCGTAAGGCCACACCCCCTGACATCACCGGAAGTGTGTCATAAGGCCACACACCCCGCCCCCAATGGTCCCGGCCGCCGCCGCCGGCCTTGCAGCTCCACTGCTGTGCCCCATGAGGGGCCCGGCGGTGGACCTGCAAGGCCGGCGGGAGTGCAAGGAAGCCCCGCGAAGGCCCTCCCTGGCCCCAGGCAGGCAGTGGTGGGGAGAGGCAGGGAGGAAGCAACTTACCCTCCCTCTTCTCCTGCCTCCTCCTGGCTGAATGAGGGCCGGAAGCAGGGCGGCCGGAAGCAGGGGGCGGGGCTTCGTCATGTGCCCTGCCCCTGTACCTCACCCGGGGGAACTGCGATCCCCCGCGATCCCCCCCGAAATGACCTCTGATCCAAGCTCTGATTCAATCAGGCTAGTCTGGGCTATTAAGAGCTGTAAATATATTTTAACATACCTGGTAGTTTATGCATGAATTTCAGCTATCCGTGAGCCCTGTGAGTAAAGGCAGAAGAGAACTGCTTACATTTACTCACAGTTGCCCATTTTCCCAATGACTGTATAATATTAGATCAAGATAGGCAGCCGCGTTTGTCTGTCTGTAGCAGTAGAAAAAAATAAGAGTTCAGTAGCGCCTTAAAGGCTAACTAAATTTGTGGTAGGGTATGAGCTTCTGTTACTAGTTATCTGAAGAAGTGACCGGTGACTCATGGAAACTCACACCCTACCACAAATTTTGTTAGCCTTTAAGGTGCTACTGGACTCTTACTCTCTTCTACTGCATGATATGGTGGACTTGGCTATTATAGATGGGAAGCCCCATTAGTACCAAACTACACATTACATGGCAGTTGTGTTTTATTCTAAGCTGCGAGGGAGGCTCATAATTGGATTAAAGTGGTGGTCTTAAGGGACAGATTCTTCTAAACTCTCTACTTTATCCTCACTCAAGCTGCTGTTAGTCTTTTTTTTTGTTAGTTATTTGATTTCTATTCTGCTTTCCCCCACTATTGTGGGGCTCAGAGCAGATCACAACATCTAGTGAACAGTTAAAATACAATTAAAAACATAAATTTAACCAGTTCAAATATTTACAATTAATCAGATGGTGTATAATAGTACTATCACTGTTCCAGGGGAAGAAAAAGGGGAGAAGAGGCAGGCAGAGCTGTATAAAAGAATTATCTTGGCCTCACCTATATGCTTGGTGGTACAACTCCGTTTTACAGGCTGTGCAGGTTTGTCCAGGGGTTTGTCAGATTCTGAGTTCCCTGTGTCTGCTGTAAAAGTGCGTGAAGGTGGGGGGGGGGGGGAGAGAAAGACTAAATCACTAATCTGTTGCATAATGTACACTATGAAGGGGGGGATTTCTTCCTAATATTATTTGGCATATAGTTTTAGACTGCATAGAATCTATGAGTCACCCAGACCTTGGGAAATTCTTTTGGATCTTTTCGTAGATTTAGGACTTAGCATCTTGAATTATATGGCATCTTCTGCTTGTATAAGTCATTATGTCAAGTTAGTACAGAGCATTCCTAGTCAAAAATATGGTACTGTTTAATGTTCAAGCAGTACCTAGTTCAAAAATATGGTACTCTTGTTCAAGTACATACATCTTAAAATGTACTTCAAAATAAGTACATAAAAATTGATCCATGTGAAGGTCTGCCTAACCCAGCATTGTGTTTCCAGCACTGATATGCCAGAAGTCTCTGGAAGCTCACAAAAGCAACAGTCTTCCCCTCTTCATCTGCAAAATCTCATACATAAATACAGCAATAACTTACTCAGTTTTTCAGTGTTTGTGGGATCCACCCATGACTGACAGCTTTGTTTTTCAGATGAATCCAACAGCTGGTGATGAGTTACAGTAAGCAAACCTTGATTGCACAGATTGCTGCAGACTCTTGAAAACCTCATTATGAGAATATTCTGCTTAAATATTTTACAGGGATATTTAGACTGATCACAGTACACTGCCTACAACTTGGGAATTCCTTTGCTTTTGGTGATTTGTTGAATCTAACCATGAGGATCTTTGGAAGCAATGTAGAAGCTTTATGTTCAGGTGGGCTATGGAGTGGGCTTTGTTTTCAACTATATACTACTACGGTACATATCTCTGGGATGAAGCAGAATGCAAATTTCTTAATAAAGCCTGGAGCATGCTTTCTCATAGGCATCATGCACAACAAAACTAAATGGAAGACACCCCTAAGTATACTACCTTTTGCAAATAGCTGTCGCTTTCTACTTTCTTTCTCACGTATCAAGTGATTCATGCATTCAGCCTCAGCCCTTATTGAGCAGCTAGTCTAGAGGGAACACATTACAACTACAGGCTATTTGAGATACTTCTTGTGATTTTAAAATGAGAGAATTGAGAGCTCTATCATGCTATCTATAATTACATCAGATTTGAGACTTGGGCATAAAGCTTCCACTCTTATATTACCCACAAGACTGCATGAATGCATATATAATCAAGAAAGCTATATTGGCAGCAATCCCTGATGGGACTGGGGCAGGGTTCACTCTAAGCTGAGTTAGTGTGAGTTAGCTCACAGTTTTTTAGCCTCTGGCTCACACATTTTTGTCTTGGCTCAGGAAGGAGGACTCCAGAGCAGACTAATTCATGCAGCAGCCAAAGTGCTCGCTCACGACTTTAATGCCAGGAGCTCACAGAGTAGAATTTTTGCTCACAAGACACCACATCTTAGAGGGAACATTGGACTGGGGTATCTTCGTCTGAAGAGACTTGATGCAGTGAGGAGAGTTTTGCCAAAGCCCGCCTTCCCCTATAGCCTATTTTTAAATGTTTAAAGCCGATTTCACTCACAAAATGTAGTGGAGTGCACTAGCAGTGATTTCTTGCATTTGCTGTTTTCCATTGTATTTAAGAAGAGTTTTGTTAAATCAAAGCAAAGGAACTATCTAGAATGCTACAGTGACCAACTGCCTGCTTTAGGAAGCCAATAAGCAGGGCATGAAGACCAGTTGTTTGCTCCCCAGCAACTTGATAATGCATTGTATTTTTTTTAAAAAAAAGATCCAGATTTTAAGATCCCCTTTTAAAAATGTTAAAAAGTTAGCTGCTAAGTATTTGGCAATTAAGATATGGTACACGTTTGCACTCCCTCATAAGCATATTTGACAGTTCTTTATTTTAAAAAAATAATCCATATTGTGTCTTTTTCCCCAACCCCCCTCCCAATAACAACCCTATCATTAAAGTATGTTCTACTGGTTCTTCCACTGTCCCACAAAAAAGGACTGCTGTGGGAAAGAACAAACTGTTAGCATACAAATATATCAGCACATTTTGCTGTGTTAAAATGCTTGTAAGAGTACTACAAAATATTCATACATGTCCATAGGGGAACAACTAGCAAACACTTGTGTTCTTTTTACATACTTATGGAGCTGCGGTGGCTCAAGTGGTTAAGACGCTGAACTGCAGGCTGTGGAAGGTCAGTAGTTCAGCGGTTCAAGACCCGGGTGCCGCAAGACAGGGTGAGCTCCTGTCTCTAGTTCCAGCTCCTGCCAACCTAGCAGTTCGAAAGCAAGAAATTGCAAGTAGATAAATAGGGACCACTTCGGTGGGAAGGTAACAGCGTTCCGTGCACCTTGGTGTTTAGTCATGCCGGCCACATGACCACGGAAATGTCTTCGGACAGCGCTGGCTCTTCGGCTTTGAAACGGAGATGAGCACCGCAACCCTAGAGTCGGATTCGACTGGCTTTCGAGCAAGGGAACCTTTACCTTTACCTTACATATTTTTACATTGTCTGCCATGCTTATACTACTATCAGATAGAAAATAAGCATTTCTTAAAAGTCCACCCTTATACCAAATACTTCTTTATATTACAAATATTTTTAAGTAAGGTAGTTCCATGTTGATATTCACTGTTGCTGTGATGCCAAAATTAAGTGCCAAGAATTCTTACAAACAGTTCATAATGCAGATTTCCCACCTCCAAATAGACCTGTGTCTTAACACACTTCTTGTCAACTGAACATTAAGACTGTATTAATACCCAACGGGCATCTGTTTTAAATTAAATATTTTCAAAAAACCCAAATGTTGTCCAGATTAGACTTTTGTTATCACTTGTTCGGAGTATTCGTTCTCATTTCAGATGACTTGAACGTATGTTACTGTGGAATCACTGCCAAGCTGGTTCTTGGCCGTACATCTATATGTGCCAGTATCCGAAGATTTGGGATTCTGAATGACTAATGTTCCTTGTGGGTGAAGAAGTTCACTTCCAGATGGTCGGCCTTTGCTGCCTGTGGAAAGCAGTGAGTGGTCAGGCAGCTCCCATGTAATTTCTGGATTCGGTATTCCCAGTGCCATGCAATTAAGCTGAATTGATGCTCCAGCCACAGTGCGTATATTCCTTGGTGGTCTGTTTGTAATCCGTGGCGGATGGGCTATAACCATTACAAAAACTACTATTGTTGAATCACCAGCATAGTTCTGAGCTTTGCAGACATAACTTCCTCTGTCCTGAATGGTTGTTTCTCTGATAATTAAAGTACCATTTTCCATTAATGTGTATCTTCCATTCATTTGGGGACGGTCTAGGACATGGCCACTAGGTACTGTCCATACAATGTTTGGTTTGGGACTCCCGGCTGCAAGACAGTGGAGGGATACTGATTCCCCACTAATACTCTTTATTGCTCCTCCTGAGGGGGTCAAAATGGTTGGTTCCTGGCCAACTTCCAGCACAATCAGTTTTTCAATATAGCCAACCTTGTTTTTAGCTGCACACCGATACTTGCCTGCATCAGCTTTAGAAGGGCTATAGACAACGAGGGTGCCGTTGCTTCCCAAGTAATACTGGAGCATTCTGACGCCCCTGAAGAGCCTTGTACCATTTGGTAACATCCAGATTATTTCGGGAGGAGGGTTGCCATCTACAGAACAATTCAAAAAAGTTGTTTTCCCAGGCTTTGCTATTACTTTCTCATTAAAAGGATTTCTAAACATTGGACGTCTTAGCATTTCTAACACCTCCAGCTGGACCACCAATATGCTTTCTCCCCCATCATTACGGGCCACACAGATGAACTCTGCCGTGTCTGAAGATCTTACATTACGAATTTCAAGAGTCCCGTTACTGTGTACTGTTATTCTGCTCCCATAGTATGGGGCAGTCAGGAAAATATTGTCAGGCATGATCCACATGACTTGGGGTAGGGGTGTTCCTTCAGCTCTACAGTCTATTTGCTTCTTTGAATGCTTTATGGCTGTTGTTTTAATGACAGTCTTGTTTGTATACAAGCCATTGATAAGAGGTGGTTTAGAGACCACATCTAGTTTATACAGCTTTGTGTCATCTCCACCAGAGTTACGTGCAACACATACATATTCTCCAGCATCTAACAGCCTCACCTTAGAGACAGACAATGATCCATTAACATGTAGAAAATATCTATTGCTGGAAGCGGAAATCATGTCACTAGAAGGGAGCAGCCAAAATATTTTTGGCTTAGGCTCTCCAATGGCTTCGCAGTCAAACACTGCGGTATCTCCTGCTTTCACCTTTGCATAGGTCTTAGAGTTCTGCTTGATACGAGGTGCAGCTGCTACTACTGTTATGTGAACTTTCATCTCATCTTTTCCAAGTGTGTTTTGAGCATAGCACGTGTAGTCTCCTTCCTCAGCGATTCCAACTTCGTTGAAGTACAGAGTTCCATTGTCAAACAGAGTGTATCTCCGAGACCTGTGCCCGCTGTCATCCGCTTGCATCACATTATTGATCACTGTGCCATCTGGCAGACTCCAAGATATTTCTGGTTCAGGTGACCCGGAAGCTTTACAGTCCACTTTGAACTCTTTTCCATAAGGTACCAGTTTCTTAAAATACTGCTTTTGATCAATTTTTGCAGGCTTCATTGTCACGCTAACTTTCATAAGGATTAGGTCATCTCCCATTTTGTTTCTTGCCACACACAAATAGTCACCTGCATCTTTTCCTGTGACTGCCTCAATAACCAGGGACCCATTGGGGTGTACGTGGATTCGGCTTCCCATTCTAGAAACAGATGGGAGAAAAATAAACAGTTTAGTTAATGACACTGTATATGCCTATGTTTATATACATGCCAAGATAAAGAAGAAGAGTTGGTTTTATTACCCCCCTTTTCTCTACCTTAAGGCTTACAATCGCCTTTACTTCCTCCCCACAACAGGCACCTTGTGAGCTAGGTGGGGCTGAGAGAATTCTTAGAGAACTGTGACTGGCCGAAGGTCACCCAGCAGGCTTCATGGGGAGGAGAAGTGGGGAATCAGATCTGGCTCTCCAGATTCAAGCCCGCTGTTCTTAACCACTGCACCATGCTGACCCTCAGGACCCTTAATGCCCTGGGCCCTGAGTGTAAAATTGCCGATCAAAGCCTGGATTCTCATACTGTACCACAATAAAGAAGCTGTTAGGATACAAATGCATTGAACTGAAGCACTCTGGAACTTTGTTTGGGAACAACTACATTGCAAAAGCTTAATATCTAAGATCCTGCTCTACACATTATGACAGAAGCATGAGAATCTCTCCCCCAAAGTGTGAACCCAAAGCACTCTAGTCATATTCAGATAGAAACAACATGTAAACATGGTCAATTCATGTGCCTGCATCTCTGTTCCCAACCTCTATGATATCTGTATGAAAAGAAACCACATAGGGTTGGACCCAACTGGTTTTTCTGTTGATGGGGAAAAAAGGTTCCCTTTGAGCACCAAAAAGGCTATGCTGGTGATAATGGCACCAACATGGACAAAAGCCACATGGGAGGAGGAATGTAATAGGCAGTGGAATTGGGCAAGACTGAGTGAAACTTCTCCTCTTCCACTTACGTACCTGCCTCGCTATCAGGAACAACTAATTCTAGCAAAAGGCAGGCATATGCATAATCTCATTATGTCAAAGCTCCATGTTTCTGTCAGAATTCCTCACATTTTTACTAAACAAGAATTCCCAAATTTCTTCTGCGTGTTACTTTGCCAACAACTGGTGTGCATGTAGCGATGAGGCTCCTTCATGTTTTCACTCTTATTCTCAACTGAACTATACTTGCTTTCTGGTGGACATTCAACAGATATGTTGAAATCTGGTGACAACATAGCTAAAACGGAAGAGTAACATCAGACTGAGTTTAGGAATAAAGCCCCCCCCCCCAGGCTGCAGCACAGAATTTGGGTTACAGTTGCACAGCCATGCTTCTATAAATCAATAATTTTTAATATTTAAATAAATAAAAATATTGTGCTATATTACAAAGTAACACTGATTGCATTTGTTCAGCATCCACGTGCTCTGCTCTGCTGCCCTTATTTCTTCTGCATAAGCATAACAAGCAACACATGTTCTTAAATTGCTTTTGATTTATGCCACCCTATGAATTAATGTTCTCCAAAATGTCCTAACCTTAACAGCATTGATCAGGTCTTGCAAACTGAGGGCTGTGGCTTCCTTTATAGAGTCATTCCGTCTCATGTTAGGTTTTCCTATTTTCCTTCAACTTTTCCTAGCATTATTGTCCTTTCCATAATGTGTCTTGTCTTCTCATGTGACAAAAGTACAATAGATTAAAATTAAAATTTAAAACCCACATGCCCATACTGATGAAGAAAATGACCTCTAGGGAATGCTTGATCAAGGCAATTGGAAGCTTTTGGTCATACCGTATGGCCCAGTATGGGCATGTGAGAACACATCACTCATTTTAATCATTCCCTTCGGAGGCTTCACTGGCAGAGAAGCTACTATCAATAGGACCCTGGAGTCTTCCCCGAATCTGAGACTATTAGTTATATTGGAGTCTGAAAATTACAAGATTTGTGGCTGTCAAGTTTGTCTGCACTTAGGAACCCAAATCCTGGCCAATGTCAAATGGAACCACTATTAGAGTGCATTGTATTGTGCCTGGAATTATAATAAAATCTTCCTTGATTTTATTATAAATCTGGATTACCACTCTACCGAAGTTGTACAGAAATATCCACCAAAGTTAGGAATAAGCATTGGATACTGATTATGATCTATCTGATTCTATAAAACCCATTAAGTACTAGGGTTTCATTACTTAAGGTTATTTAAATAGTTACCTTATCAATACAGCATCTGTTAAAATATAATTACTTAAGTGGTTTAAGTGCTTCTGGATCACAGGCCATGTGATTTTTTAAAAAAAACACCCCCCTGAAAAATTAATTTGACTGGAGTGAATTACAGGAAACCTGTAGAGTTAAACCATCCGTAGTGGCTGCTATAAGTTTCTAGGCCCAAATGAAGGTGCTGATTTTGACCTATGAGCCATGCCAAAAAGACTAATTGCTCCCAAATCTTTAAGGCCATCTGCAGTGCATGTTAAATATTGCAAGTGATATTTTACAGCATTCTCCAATATATATTGCGAACACAGTCTTAAACCCTGAGAAAAAAGGTCCAGACTTCTCCTGACCTTGGTCTGTGCCCAGAAACTTCACTGTGTTCCCCAGTTAAGAACAGCCCCACATGAGTCCTGCAGCTGGATAGTTAATTATTTCAACTCACCGTTTTCCAGTTTAGCCTTCTTCACTGTTACTGCTTCTGATCACTGACTTCCCTCTAGCCATTTCAGTTTTACTTCCTGCTCTCAGATTGCTTCTGGCCTTCTAGTCTTCTTCTTATTCTTCTTATTCTTATTTTTTGATCCGCCCTGTCCTTAATCCCTCTCCTTCTTTTGAACTGCTACTACTAGTCTACGGTCTTTTTAATCATCCCTTTTAATGTCAGACGAGGATTTGGGAGTCCTGGGTCTGAATCCCCACTCTGCCATGGAAGCTTACAGTGTGGCCTACCTAATAGGTTTGTTAGGAGGATAAAATGGAGAAGGGGAAATGTTCTAAACAACTTTGGGTCCCCATTGGGGGGAAAAGTGGGGTATAAGTGAAGTAAATAAGTAAAAAAAAATGCACGAGCAAGCAAAACAGTTTCAAAGAATCTTACCTGTGCCACTGGTCAACCACAGCTTTGGAAGGCAGTCTCCAAATTATTCTGGGCTTTGGCTCTCCCATAGCTGAGCAATTCAGAAGCAACCTGTCCCCAAAATTCAGTTGAGTCAACCTTTGCGATGCATCTGCAATTCTAGGGATTGTCTCACTGTGTTCTACCTGAAGTGTTACCACTCTCCTCTCAGAACCAGTGGAGCTGGTAGCTATGCATTCATACTTTCCTGTGTCTGATGCGGCTATATTCTTGAGGTAAAGGGTTCCATTGGGGAACAGGAATAGCTTGCTATTGATATACTGCAAAGGTTTCACTGCAGTTCCATCAAAGAGGACCCAGTGAACATTTGGATGAGGGTTTCCTTTGGCCGTGCAAGGAAGCTTCAGACTTTCCCCCACGCTCCCTAGCACATGCTGTCTCTTTTCTTCCAGTATAATGGGTGGGGCAGCAATTACTTGCAGTCTTACTACCATTGAATCGGAACCTGCCGGATTGCTCGCCGTGCAGGTGTAAACCCCTCTGTCATACATGCTGACTTTCTTTATCATCAGCGTCCCGTCTGCTTGCACAAAAGCTGCCTCATTTCCCACAGAAGATTGTGAGATGTATGTTTTGTTTGCAAGGATCCAGGAAATGGTAGGGGTCGGACGGCCTTCAGCTGTACATTTCATGGACATAGGCTTGCTAGAGTGGACAGTAATTATCTTCGACCTTCCTCCCAGGATTCTAGGTGGATAGGCCACCACAGACAATGTGATTAGAAGCTTGTCAGAACCATGCTGGTTGGCAGCCACACATAGATACTGTCCACGGTCCTGGATGTTCACATTCTCAATGGAGAGAGTGCCATTGGGAAGAACGTCAAATCTGCTGTCGTGTTTTTGTTTCAGGGCTTCAGCTCCTAATGAAAGAAGACAAAAATAAAATTAGACAGGTATTCAAATCTTGTCTTTTTGCTTTGTACACATACACATTGTCATGCCAGAGATACTAACTTGCAGGATCATCTCAGATAAGTGTCTGTAAGTTTAGTCAGTATCAGTACCTTCTAGGATCTAAGTAAATGGGAAACAGCTGGTTAAGGCAGCAATCCCTAATTAGACTAGGACGGGGATTGGGGAACCTAAGAATAAAGATCCGGTCCTAGAGGCAGCATTCATTCATTCATGATGGAAGAATGAACTTGCCTGAATAGCGTTCCAAGCAAGCCAGGAGACAGAAGGTGACAGCTTGACGAATGCCAGGAGTGCTGCAAGGATCTTCTCGAACTGTTCACCATGAGGTATAGTCCGGGGACTTAAAAGACCGAAAGTGTCTGCAAGCAAGCAAGCTTTGGCAGAGCGAACTCTGAAGCAAGTAGCCAAGCCAAAACGAGGTGGAGTTCCAGGGAGATAGGAACAGCAAACCATTTGTTTAGGATAAGCTAGCACAGTTAGGGTTTAGGATTTGTCTATTGGTTATTTTATGTGTAAACTCCCCCTGTTTGTTTTAACCTCTTCAATTAAACCTTTATGTTTTATAAGCTGGGAGTCTGAATGAATCTCTGGGCAGTAGAGACTGTTTATGTGCCTTCCTTGCCTCTCCTAAGATGAGCCTGATAGCCTTGGGAAACAGAGGGGACTCAGAATATCTGAGCACGCTACCAAATTAACCTTGAGTCCCTGGCATACACTGAGGTCCTGAGTCGGAGGACCTATGTAGCTCAAAAATATAGGAGCAAGTGTATGATACACATAAAAACCTTTATTAGCATGAAAGCACAAAACATCATATGTATCCTACAAGGATAATTTGAAAACAAAGGGACGTAACATCTTAAGCTTCATTCTTAAGTTTCTCAGTAGCCTTCCTTCCCATAGCATCTTAAGCGCCACTGTTAAGCTTTTCGTAGCCTTCCTTCCTGTTGCATTAGCGCAGGCTCCCCTTATTCCAGCCCTGTTCCTTTTAGAAACTGTAGGGAGCACAGCTGTGCATAATAAACTGTACTCATATGCTACTAGAACTGGATTTTAAGAACTGGAAAATTGGTTGCCAATTCAAATAGTCCCTTCAGTACACATACAAAGTTTATATGGCCACTGAAAATGGAATACAGATTTTCTTTTTACTGCACTTTTATATAATGCACCAAAATAATCACTTCTCAGTTGTGGATGCATCTTGGAAGTTGGTTATGCATAACTCTGAAAAAAATCTCTTCCACCTCACCCCTGCTATCATGCAAACTACCACATGATGATAGCCTCATTACAGCTGCCCCCCCCCAAAAAAAATCTGCCTTTCCTGAGACATTTCATAACCATCTGGCCAAGTGGCTGGATTCCTTCTTACCACCACCCCTTCACGTCCTTCCTCAGGGTATCCTTTTCCCATATTTTTAAAATTTATTTTTCTGAAAATAATCATAATCCATTGTAACATCATTATGCAAATTACAACTGTACAAAACAATATTCCATTTTAAAATCAGCTGACATACATTCATGTCCAACTAACTGATCACACTATTTTATGCATTACTTTAACACTAAATTTAAATATCCAAATTTAAATACTAAGAGCTGTGACCCTCAGGGTACCCTATCCCCTACAGCGGTATTTTGTTGAGATTGGTGGGCTGCAGGGGTGGGGGGAGGAAAGTTCCATTCTGCTGGTAAAAATTTTAGACTGGAAGCAACCCAAGCACAGGAAATGTCCATCAAGCTGCTATTGCATTCTGCTGAAAGTTTGTGTTAATGTTCTATCTTCCACCCCTCATATATGCATCTACTTCTCAGTGGCTTTTCTGCACTCTTGTTTTTGTTGCTTGCATGCCTTTTCTTTTCAGCACGTGTTCTGTTCCCTCTAGTGGTTGCTCTGATATATCATCCCTGTATCTCCAGTTTATTTCCCTGCACCTTAAATTGGAAACGATAGGTCAAAGTGACTACTAGAGGGATCAAAACACATTTAGAAAAAGAAACACAGACACCCCGATGCACTACAGGCACACAAGCAACCAATATAAGAATGTAAAAAAGTCCAGCATCATAAATGCTCTGGCATGAACATCCATAAGTCAGGTACGAGCGGTGTCTCTATGGCAGACAGCAAGCAGATTGTCCCAGGCATCTCCAGTTCAAGGATCTCACATAGTGGGTGCGCAAAGAAACCCTTCTCTGCCACTGAGAACCTGAAGACCTGCTGCCAATCAGACTAGACAATCTTGAGTTAGAAAGAGCAGCAGTCAGATTTAGGATAAGATGGTTTTATATGTTCAGGAACCATTGTCTGAGCTCTCCACCCACCCCATGCATTAAGGGAATCATTACACTCGGGACTTTTCCCTAACCGAACTCTTAAAACCAGTGTGTTTTCACACTGACTTTTACAAGGATGCGACCATTCCCCTTTCCCTCAAGAATGTTAAAAGATATTCAGGGAAGAGGCCATAAAAACCACTGATGACGTCCAGTGTCAAAATGTGAGGTATGGTGCAAATCCCTGAGAATAGCATGTCTGTGTTATCTGTGAGGTAACGTTTGTCTAGCCAATACCTGGAAATATTCTCTGCCTTTCATCTCCTATTCACATCAGACTATTTTTTAAATTTTATTGTTATTAACATTAAATTAAAATGTTTTATATCCCCCCCTTTGAATACAAATCTCAATTCACACAGTACAGTGTACATTTTCAGGGGGGGAAAGGCATCTTTCCCATATGAGTGTCAGGAATGCAACTAAGAAAAGAAGCTATTTTCTCAGTGGAAGAAACAGCAATAGTGGCAAAATCCTGAATCCGGGAGAAACTACTGGAATCTCTCAGCAGTTGCCCTATTCCCATGGTCAAGGGAAGAACTCTGACTTGGGCTTTGCCACCCTAGATACCATGATCCTATTACAGAATTATCCTTCTGGATGTCTATATCCTATTGAAATTGAAACTATTTCAACTTCCTGCAATGTTCAGCCTCCTATTTTGTCATCGGTAAAATTGTCAGAGCCACATTTCTGCTCAGATACTTCTTTAACTGAGTGCAGGATTATACCCTACAGCCCAACCATATTCCAGTTATCAAGCATAGATGCCTCCTTGCTTTTATTTAGACATCTGTGCTCCACTTTGCTCCCCAACAGGGTCCCAAAGCAGCTTACAACACTGTTATCCCATCCTACATATTAGCCCTGACCCGGATGGCCCAGGCTAACATAATCATCTGAGCTCAGAAGCTGAGCAGGATCAGCCCTGGTTAGTACTTGGATGGGAGACCACCAAAGAAGTTCAGGGTTGCTACACAGAGGCAGGCAATAAGAACATAAGAACATAAGGGATGCCAATGTTGGATCAGGCCAAAGGCCCATCCAGTCCAACACTCTGTATCACACAGTGGCCAGAAATACCAGTGCCATCAGGAGGTCCACCAGTGGGGCCAGGACATTAGAAGCCCTCCCACTGTTGACCCCCCCAAGCACCAAGATGACAGAGCATCCCTCGCCCCAGAGTCCCTATCTATACCTTGTGGCTAATAGCCACTGATGGACCTCTGCTCCATATGCTTATCTAATTCCCTTTTGAAGCCATCCATGCTTGTAGCCGCCACCACTTCCTGTGGCAGTGAATTCCGAGTGTTAATCACTCTTTGGGTGAAGAAGTACTTCCTTTTATCCGAGATGACAAATCACCTCTATTCCATAAGTCAGCTGCGACTTCATGGCATTTCCCATGACTTACATTTTATCCTTACAGCAACCACCTTGTGAGGTAAGTTAGGCTGTGAGAAAGTTCCTGATGCAAGGTACCCTACAAGCTTCCATGGGAAAATGGGAATTTGAACCTGGAGGTATCCAAGGCCCCAATCTGCACCATATCCACTACAGCACACTGGCTCTCATACTTGTATGAGGCAAAAGAGGAAATGTTTAACGTAAACTTAGAAAGATTACCTGATATTTTGGTCCAGTGTACTGTTGGCCGAGGGTTACCAGTGGCTTCACAAGGGATGAAGGCATCAGAATTAGCCAGGACAGTAAATGCTGCAAGTTTTCCCCCAATTATCCTGGGTTTGGCTAGCCTGTTATGATGGAAAGATTCTAAGGCAACCAGATTGGTGGTTGTGGTTTCCTGGTCTGCTCTCTTCTCAGACCAACTTCTATGATAACTGTTTTTCTTTTTCTCCCACACGGGAGTATGTTGAGTGAAACTCTGTGGAGAGTTCAATATGGTCAAAGTGTTGACCAGGAAAGTTTTGCCACTTTCTGCAATTTTAGGAGATGGTGCATGCCAGAACTTTTCCCCCCACGTGGGAGATGCAGTAGTTTGCAAGACAGGCGTGACTAATGTTTGGGATGTCAGCTGGCTTGGATGCTGTGTGGTGGGAAACCCCGCATCAGTTGGAGTTTTGATACTTAGCTCAGCTTTAGCAGGAAGAGATGCTTCTGTTGTAGGCTTTTTATTAGCAGGTTTTCTTCCCTCGTTCTGGTATGATTCCTTATATGCCACTGACACAGTCTGCATTACTTTAGTAGATACTGATGCCGGTGTTAACAAGGATATATCTGGTAGTGCTGTGGTCACACCTGAAATATTCAAGGATGGTACTGTGAGTGGGATTGCAGTGGTTGGTTTTTGAGAAGGCCCATTATGCACTGGCAGCTTAGCAGACGGAACATTTTCAGCAGTGGTCTTTTTTGTTAATAGCTGAGGTGTGATTGTGGCGGTACCTCTGGTTATACTGGTTGTGTGAAGAATTGCTGGTTGTAGCATAGTTGCTGTTACATCTGTGCCAGTATATCCAGAAAGCAGTTCAGTGGATATGGGGGATGTGGGCTCCGTTACCTTTTTATCTGTTGCTAAACTAGGTGAAGGCACAGTTCCTTTGGATGGAGCAGCAGCAAATCCAACATTGATGGTAATGTTTTTCTGTGAATGCATAAACCTTCTTAGAGGCCTCTTCCTCCTTTGAGTTCTTCTCCTTCCTGGTCTTAACAGCTTGAGTCTGGAAACTTTTGCTCTAGCATGAACAGGAGTAGGTGGAGTCAGAACTGGCTTGATGCTTGGGCCATGAAAACCCTTGCTTAGATGAGTTGCAAGACTGGAGAGAGAGGCTGAAGATGGTAATTCTGTAATGCTGAGTGGTTGAGTGGGAGCATGGTCTTCAAGCACTGTGCTGTCACTTTTGGGGTCAACTGGGTTTCTGAGACCATCTGTTTGGTTTTTCTGCTGTTTTGAAACATCAGTTATATGTATGGGTAAAACTGTTAATGTTGGTATCGGCCCTGTAGTTTGGAAAGATGCATCATGGTCTTCGGGCAAGGGTTCTTCACTTGTTTGCTGTCTAGGTTGCTTTTCCAGTAGTTCTTTTTGAAAATGGTTGTTTCCAAAGGCATTTCCAACATGCCAAGAATTTTTCCCTGTTGAAACAGTGGGAGACAAGTCTGTTCTAAGAGTGGGATGAACTGATTTAAAATCTGAAAGGGAAGCACTGCTTGTGATAAATGCATTTTCCACAGCAACGCTAGGTGTATGGATTGTCTCTGCCAGTAGACTGCTGCTAAATGATGAATATGTATCAGTAACTGTCTGTAATGTAGAAGTTTCTTCTTGTTTTTGTGGCACAATTTGAGTACTTTCCAGATATAAGGGAACTGCTGTGGAAGCTGTGCGCTCTTCAGCTGTGACTGGTTTGCTTCCTGGATTGAAAGAGGGTGTCAAGATTGGATTTACAGTTGTTATTTCAGGATGATGTACTGTAAATGAAGTGGAAATAGGTGCTTGGAAAGTAATGTGTGCAAGAGATTTGTTTGGCGGAGTCAAAATAGGAGCATTTATTTCTACAGGAGGAGGCAGTGTTGTACTTTCTTTAGCAATTCTAGGTCTAACAAAAGCAAATCTACGCCCCGCGTTGTTGGGAATACGATCAGGTCTAATTATTCGTCTCCTAGCAGAGATTTTCTTCCGTCTGCCATATCGTCTGGAGAGTGGAACACGAGTCGTGGTATCTCTGATTATCTTAATCTGCTGATGAGCAATAATGGTCGAGCCTGCCGGCAGCTGAGATGTTGTTATTTTTTGTGTACTATAAACATAAATATGCCCAAATACATCGTCTGGTGCACTTACTGCAACTACAGATAGCTGATGATTTGATTTTCTTGATGCTTTATCAGCGGCTTCTACAAATAAATTAGGCTTTTTAGTAACTCCATGGAAAGTCACGGGGCTGGCAGTCTTAGCGACCTGCACGGCTGGTGCTATTGTTGGGTTCATTTTTAAATGCACATCAGGAGGAAAAGCATTCAGTGGGTCTGTTGTACTACTAGGCAAGTTCCCAGGAGGAAAAGCATTCAGTGGGTCTGTTGTACTACTAGGCAAGTAAAATGATGGACTCAGTGATTCCATACTAGTAGGTGGTGACTGGAATGCTTCCAAAGCCCCTTTGGCAATTTCAGGCTTATGTTCTGTATATGGCTCCTGATTCTTTGACACCTCAAACTGTGTAACCATTGGGCTGCTTAATGGAGTTACAGCTTCTGTGGCAGTGCCATATTCTGCAGTAGAATGAAAATTATTCTGTATGCTTCCAAATTCTGCTGTCACTACTTTCCCCGATGCTTCTCCTAGTGTGTACATCGCAGGTCTTTTAGTCACTAGTAGCAGAAATTCCTCCTCTGGCGGAATATCTCCAGACATCTCCCTTTCATTTGCAAAAACCTCTGGGGGCAGGAGGAGTTTCACTGTTGGCTTCATTGTGGCATTTTCTTGCTTCCTTGGCAGCGTGATATTCTTTGTTTTTTCCAAAAATGCTGCCCAACGCAATGGATCGATTCTTCTGGTGGAAGGGCCAAATTGTCTTCTATGTCCTCGAAGCCGTCTAGTCATCTTCTCCCTGTTGTGCTTGTAAACCACTCTGTAGTCATTATTAGTTCTCTTTAGTATGGGACGGTTTGTAAACAAAACTTCAGTAGATGTCTGGCTGGTTGCTTGGGTTTGCACTGCAGAAGGTGGACTCTGTGTCCTGGCAATAACATCAAGTTCTCCATTGCCTGAGCCATCAGCAGCTTCTTCATGAGTATCTACTTTTTCATGAGTATCTAGCTTCTGTGACCTGTTTGGATTTTTTTTAACTAGTACTTGATGAACCAAAAAATCAACACCATACTGATTGGCTGCTACACACTTGTAGTAGCCACCATCCCGATCTGATGTCAGTTGTATTTTCAATGTAGCATTGTCTAAAAGTATCTTGTTCTTTGAAGAATGATCAAGAACCACATGCTCAGGTGAGACCCAATGAACAGAGGCATCTGGGACACTGGTAGACTGGCATGGGAGGAATAATGTTTCACCTAAATATGCTGAGAGCTGACGTCCATTTAAATAGCTGTGTTCCATATATGGGTCAATCACAGTAATCCTGAAAGACAGGACATCTGCATCATCATAATTGGTTCCTATGCAGTGATAGACTCCAGTGTCAAAATTATCAGCTGTGTGTAATGTAAATCTGCCAGTTTTTGCTATTGCAATTCTCCCATCCTCACTAACATACGGGGCTCTAACTTTGCTACCATCAGGTAATACCCACTCAATGATAGGAGGAGGCTCACCAAGAGCCTGACAGTCCAGTTCCACAGATCTGCCTGCCAAAACAGTGTGTTCTGTCTTGGTACTATTGGCTCGTAACATCATAGCCCAGTTTTGTATTTCTTTTGGGGGGGCAATAGCCGGAAGCGTGATTTCCGCATCCACTGAATATTGAACATGCAAAGTGTTGAGTGTGGTTACCGTCCTGTCTAATTGCAATGACACATGGCCCTGCATCAGCCAAGATGGTTCCGCTCTCATTTCAGCTTCTATATTTGTGAAAATGTCTTCATTTTCAGAATCAGCCTGTTTGTACTTATAACTGATATAAGGCACTTTTGTCAGTAAGAGATCCCTGTCCAGTTTCAAGGGAGAAGCGCTGTACAGGGCAAGTATGCTCCACAGTTGCTGTATATGTTCATAGTCAATGCTGCACACAAGAAATGTTGATAGCGATGCTTTAAGTACTATGTTGTCATTTTTTTCAAGCTGGACAGGGGGCATCTTTGTAGGTCTTTGCACGCTGCAAACCACATTTGCCTGGTTCCCTGCTTGGTCGGTCATGTTTAATGTGACAGATCCTATGGGAGCAATAAAATCCTTAGAGGAGACTAAAGTGAAGTCACCATCCTCTGGAACAGTAATGTTCTTGAATTTTAAGACTGGGTCAATGGTTGGCTTAACGCAATTAAAGCCTGAAGATTGCAATTCCATTAACTGTTTGCCTTTGGAGTTCCTGGGACTGGAGCACAGTGGACACTGCAGAACACCCAAAGGGCCTCTGTCCTTTTTGCACTTTACGACATCTAGAGAGAAAGAGAGCGGGGGAAAATTAAAAGACTTATTTTGCTATAAAAACAAAATGTTTCTGTTGTGCTGAAAGAGATACTGTTGTGTCTATGAGATCAGGCAAACCTCAGCTGAGCAATCATTTAAAAAGGCCATCTGTAAATGTTTATCAGTCACGCAGGGCTCTTTTTGTAGAAAAAGCCCAGCAGAAACTCATTAGCATATTAGGCCACACCCCTGACAGCACAGCTCATTAGCACATTAGGCTGCACCCCCATGTTGCCAGAAGTGTGGTCATCCAGCCACACCCACCTTTTGCTTCTTATTCTGCTTACCTTGTTGTCAAAACCCAGGGCTTTTTTTGTAGCAGGAACTGCTTTGCATGTTAGGCCACACACCCCTAATGTAGCCAATCCTAATGAGTTTCTGCTGTTAGGTGTGGCCTGTTATGCTAATAAGTTCCTGCTGGGTGTGGCCAACTCGGGAGCCAGCCAGAACTCCGTTCCTGTGCGTTCCTGCCCAAAAATAGCCCTGTTTATCACTGTTTGTTAAGCTCCAGCCTTGCATCATATCTGGTTCTTATCTTCAAAGATGTTCCTGTTCACAACCTATGTCTCTACTTGACTGAATAACTGTAACCACGTTCACATGTTACAATGAATGCATGTACATTCTGCAGGTATACCTGTTTGTAAGGAAGAGCCAATAAGTGATCACTTTACAAACAAAACTGGGGGCCATTCCTGGATAAATGTAGGGTTTGAATCACACATTCAGCTGTACATACATTAAATGTAACATGAGAATTGCTCAATGCCTGTATAATGGAAAATCAAGCATATACTGTACACAGATCGTACATAGATTCACTGTAAATTGTGAGCGGCACTAGTATGGAATTGATTTAATGAATTTTCTGAGCACATCCGTCTTGAAACCGGAATGCAACCCCCCCAATACCTTTGTGACTTTAACTGAGCTAACTACAGTGCAATTGTTTTCCACCATGGAAATGACTTGAGACAATGCCCAAGGGACACTGGACTACTATTAGATTGCACTGAAACATTCACAGGGATCTTGAAGGAATCTATAAACATCAGGCAACTAATATCCTGTTCAAGGATCTTTCCATAAGAGTGTGCATGTCATTCCTCCATGGGAATAATTCCCACCTGTGGTACAATTTTTTTTTTTAAATCACAAGCCAAGATCGGGCAAAATCCTATTAAAACACATAAACTATGGTGCCTCTTCGTTAATCCTGATCCTTGAAATGTCCAATGATCAGTATTCATTTTTTTCCTTCTGCTCA